GGCTTTGCACGAAGGAATGGGGAGGAGAGGTTATCAACCAAATGTTGTCACATACAGCATACTCCTTGATGGCCTTTGCAAGGGTGAGAGAACAGAGGAGGCAATGTCTTTGTTAGAGGATATGTATCACAATGGTTTAACCCCAAATGTTGTCACATATAACACTCTTATGAATACACTATTCAAAAGAAATAAGGTGGAAGAAGCCTTGGCTTTGCACAAAGAAATGGGGAAAATAGGATGTCAACCAGATGTTGTCACATATAGGACACTCCTTGATGGTCTTTGCAAGGATGAGAGAATGGACGAGGCAATGTCTTTGTTGGAGGAGATATATCGCAATGCAGATGTGGTCATATACAAATGTGCTATGCAAAAGAAATAAGGTGAAAGAAGAATTGTCATTTTAATAAGAAACTGGGAAAAGTGGTGTCAACCAAACGATGTCATAATGATGCATTCATCGATGGTCTTTGCAAGGATGGTAGGACTAAGGAGACAGCATATTTGGCCTATATAGCTCACCGGATGAATGAACGTTTTGCAAATCTAATGTCGACCATTGATATGCTGATTGATGGAGAATGTAAATCAAGGAAGCATCGAGTTGCAAAGGAATTGCTAACTATATGATCCAAATAAGTCTCTTTCCTAATATGATGACATATTCTGTAGTACTATATATGTTTTCCTGGCAAGGCTAATGGATGAAGCAGAGTGATAGCTCGAGCATGATTGTAAAGGGTGATTTACCGGATGCTATAATATATGAATTACTATTGAAGCATTTTACTGTAAATGGTGATATGGGGAAGTTTTGAGGTCATGAGGTTGCTCCATCAAATAGCATATAAAGGCATGGTACTTGTTGAGCAATGCTTATCAACAATCTTGGATTATCTGACATCTGATGTTCGGGTCTCAGAGTGTATACAATCACTTCCAAAGTTTTCTCTTGCCAAAGAACAAACTAGAGTCTCATGCATTGCCAAAGCACAACCTAGGCTCCAAAAGTTGCATTCTAAACAGGTGGCAATAATGTTAAGATATGTCTGATAGGTGCTATTCATTAGCACTAATGAATTGCAATGAATTATTCATGCAATATAAGATGAAAGCTTCTTCTCTCCTCTTGATATGTATTTAGATCATTATAATTTCAAATATAGTTGCTATTGATATAATAGAACTTCTTAAAAGAGATTCTTTGGTAATAGTGGCACTTTGTCTCTAAAAATATGCGTTTGAATAGGATCCGTAAGATGTAAATGCGCAAAACTCTGGTTTATCAGCTTTTATAAAAAGTTCCTTTGTTTTTTTTGATAATTATTAGATTTTGAAATTCTTTTAAGTTAACCTTACATTTTCTCTTTGATTCTCGTTATGTTAATCCTACACTTTCCTAGTCAGCAATAGAGTGTCCCAATAAATCAAGTCTTGCACTACGGGGAAGCATAAGTTCTTAACCATGGAGATGCCTTGAGATAGTGCATGATGCTGGTGACAGCATTCATATGTGTAGATTAGGGTACATATATGAATCGACTAACAATAGCCACATCATGAGTTTATCAGGTCCAATAATCATCAAATAGACAAGGTTCCCAACAAGTCTCTGATATTGTTCTACATCTTCCAAAGGAGTACTAGAAGCAACTTACTATGTGAGTCAATAGGTTTCAATGCCGGCTTCTCAATTTCTTTAAGTAGATAGGGAGCATTTTTATGTTCAGAAATGAAGAACCCTCGTCGTGGTTAAACTGCCTCAATACCGAGAAATAGAGGGAGTCAAATACTTGATGTCAACCTTATGATGCAGGTAGCACTAGAGACTTGCAATACTCTCTCAGTTATCACTTTTGAGGACAATGTAATCAACATAAACTAGAAGAATAATAGTACCTTGAGGTCGCCATTTTGAACAAGTCTTCCAATTGGGGGATTGATGTCCTGAGAATACTAAGGAAGAAGAGTTTTCTTTCGAAAAAGGCAAGGGCAGTATGGATATTATGCCTTTTGGTCGGTCTCATTATGAATTGGGTTCTTGAAATATTGTTTGGAGGGACATGGAGGTTATCCTGATAATGATAGGCCTCTTTCTAATGATATTGGGATACCATTTGCTGTGAGGGGCATTGATGAAATTTATGAAGCGTAGAGAGGGTTCTTTATATAGAAAAAAGTACTTATTGGGAGGGATTCAGAGGTAATTGACAATGATGGGATTGTTTGTAATGATTGGGAGACCCACTAGTGAGGGGCAAACTTGAAATTTATGAAGAGAAGGGCGGTGTTTAATTGAGAAAAATGAACAAGATATAGCGGATGAGAGCATTATGATGTTTTTGGGAGCTTATGAAATGCTTTTGGAAGGGATTCAAAAGTCTATAAAGGGATGGATTATTATTCATGATGTCCAATCAATGAGGCTCACTGAGTACTTAGAGTCAAGTATGAATACAGTACTAGGGTGCAGCGGGGAAGAGAATAATGTGGCTGGGTTTAAATCATTGTGCTCTATTCCTTGGGAGGAGATACTATTGGTATTTCAGTTTGTGAACAGCATGGCCACTGTGTATAAAACTTGAGTGAGTCGTCATCTTGTTCTGATTTGTTGGTTGTTAGAGGAGAAGAAGAGAAATGATATGATGAGGTATCAGACTGTTAGAAGAATGAAGAAGGAGATTTCAACATAATTAAGGGGATCTTGCCCGAGTTCATGGGTAAAGTTGATTTAAAGGTAGGAATGCAATTGTACAACATTGTAGAGAAAAATGGAGGCAAGGGTGGGAAGGGAAAAGATTGAGGAGCTAGAGAACTAAAGGTGGAGGAGGGTTTGGAAGGGAGATATACGAATGGGTAGGAGCCTCTAAGGAAGATTTTTTGCATGAAGATATTATTGTGGGACATCCGGTGTTCAGGGTACTAGGAGTAAAAGAGGAATGTGAGGATACTTTTTCAAAAGCATTGGTGAGAGGTGACTATGTTGTAGGAACCAAAGTTGGGGCTGTTGATAGGGTGTCGGTGAGGGCGTTATGGGGTTCATTAAAAGAGGTATCGGATTTGGTTCTATCTCAGGCGAGCACGAGGGGTATCTTGATGTTATGGGATTCACAAGTTTTGACTAAGGAAGGGGAATTGTTGTTATCTATAAAATTTTCAAGTGTGATAGATGGATTGATATGGTTCTCATGTCTGTATATGACCCTAATGATTTTGGTGAGAGAGGTTCTGGGCAGAATTGTATGGAGTAAGCCAAGGTGGGATGAGCTATTGTTACTTGGTAAGGGCTTCAATGTCATTTGTTTTCACATGAAAGGTGGACGAGGTGTAGAATCATAGCTAGTGTGAGGTGCTTTTCAGATTTGGTGAGTTGCCATGGGTTTGGTGGATGTGCCTTTGCAAGGGGCACTGTTTACATGGTCCACTGGGGTGAATCCAGCCATGTCTAGATTGGATTGGATCAGTTTCGACTTTTAAGTGGGTGGGGCACAAACGTTTCTATAATACTGATGTAGCTACCCTAAAACCGAATCTGATCATGTTCCCATTTTACTGGATGCTTGGTCCTTGTCTTTTGGACTTGCATCATTCAGGTTCAAGAATTTGTGGTTGGAAGCATGGGAATTTCAAGACATGGTCAGAATTTGGTCAGAGTCCTCTTATGTGGTTGGATGGGCTGGTCTTCATTCATCTAATAAACCAGGGAGTTTGAAAGAGATGTTGAAGGAGTGGGTCCGGTGACAGGAAGAAGATTGCTTCGCTGGAGTTGCAAGTCCTGGACCATAAGGAAGATGTCCAAGGGCTTGCTGAAAAGCAAATTGTGGATAGGGCTTGTAGTTTGTTAGATTATGAGATTTTGCTAAAGCAAGAGGAGATTCATTGGCATCAACAGTGTAGAATAAGATGGTTGGAAGGAGATCAAAATATCCCCCATCTTTCTACATCTGTTAGGAAGAAGGCTTAGTGTATTTCCTCCATTGAGAGAGGAAGTGTTTCAGGAGCAAAATGGGGCGAATGTGCATTGCGGACCTCTTTGAGAGACTCCACTTTGGATAGTTATTTTCAAACCCAAGGTCGTCGATGACTTGCAGTTTGAGATAATTTGGGCCATCTTGGAGATAAGTGGCCAATGAGTTTATATGGTTCGAGTATGTATCTTATGCATTTCAATTGTCCTACTAAAATATTTCCTTGTACACCAGTTATAGAAGTGGTCCATTAAGTCATAACGATGTCCTTCAAATAGTTGGACTGAGTAACTGAAGCCCCTTGCTATGTCGATCAATTAGTCAGGGGCTATCCATGGTATCTGAATAAGCGAGTCATCTGGCATGCCGCACCACCCCTTTACCCACAAGGCATAGCATTAAGCTTGTAGATTTATGGAGAACCATTCTAAAATCAGTTGTAGATGTTTTCCCAGAAATTGTCTGAACGGTTATGTTGCAGGCTCTATGCACATCTATTAAACAATTATGTTAAAATTTACTGGTTAATAGAACTTTTGAGTTGGTTTGGCGTCCATGTTTGTTAGTCTTTTATGTTTCCTCTTACTTTTTTCTTCCAATGCTATGCATAAATTGCGTGGAGCATGTCTTGCACAAATGCATTTGAGTATTGCCATTTGTCTATTTGAGGAATTCTAATGCAGACTGCGTGCTTTGACCAACTCTTATCAATTATTTTGGGTGAATTAGTTCTTATGGTTATGATGAACTGATGCCAAGCTATTCTTGTGTAAACCCTCTTTCTTATTTTATCATGGGAAAAGTAGTAGTACTATTTGATATTTTTATGATTCTAATAATTAACTTATCTTTTATTATTTATATTCTTTTATAGTTTCTTTAGGTGCCAAGATTGTTAGATGTTATGACATTAGAACATGTCTTAGTAACGAAAGTTTGTGTGACTGCAGGTTCATTGAATGCCTACGATAAAAGTACTGAATCGGTTACAGTTGTTGGTGGGGTGCCCCCTGGGCTCACTGGCCTTACCATGGACAAGTCGGTAAAGTTCTCTTATGAGGAGCTTGCTTCAGCGACAAATGGGTTCAGCATGGCTAATAAAATTGGTGAAGGTGGCTTTGGGTCTGTTTATTATGCGGAGCTTAGAGGAGAGGTCTGTGCATCTTCCTATTATGATTTTCAGTACCTTTAGTATGAACTACATATAGTCTTTGTGAGTGTATAAGGAACAAAAATACATACAAGGGAGTACAATGCATACAAAGACTAGTCAATACAACTTCAAAATTTCAACAATTCACTTGAATTACAGCCCTTGAATCAAAATTACAGCAAGGGTGCTGCGACCACAGTGACATAATGTCTTCAAAATACACTTTAAAAGTGAGGATACAAGGATATTTAGGTCCCTTATATATCAACAAGTCTATCCACAAGGATAGAACACAAGACTACACATGAATGTACTTTTGAAAATTCAACAACACTCAATCTTATAATGCAAAATTATACATCAATTGACACATGAAAATACATCAAATCAAGATCTCAATTACATATATATATGATTGCTCAAGTGTAGTGTGTATCAAGACATGGGAAGCCATATGGAGCTCTCGGGTGCTGGGTTTACCACTTTAAGTCTTAACTATGTACCAATGGGTCACATGCGATGACATCATTCAAATTCCCGGCCAATTCATTATTTAAGAATGGGAAGCCCAACATCTACTGATATAGACATCAATCATGGAAGGTTTTTGCAGAAATTTAAAGATCTTGCAAGTGAGAAAAATATGTGAGTGATCCAAGGCTTTAGAACACAAAACCGGATCTAGTTTCTTCACAAAATGTTACTTAGAAATTCGGCATAATCTCGCTTAGAAAATCAGAGAATTCAAGGTAGTGATGAGGTGATCTAAGTGACTGATGTGAGTTAGAAAACTCAAAAAAATCAGTCAATAACAAGTTCAAAAATTCAATTAGGAATGCTCAAAGAAATCTAGCTCAATTCACACATGGAGGAAGCATATTTGAACATGGATTAAGTGAGAACAAAAAGAGAATCAAATGACTAAAAGATAATCAACAAAAGAGACTGTAATGCTGCTCTAATTGCAGAATTACAACAGAGAATAGATGATCTAAATGGCTGAGAATGAAAAGCCTTACTCGATTAATGAAGGTCACTTGACTTGTTGATCCATGGAATGAGCTATGAACCTTTGATCACCATTAATGGAATTCGAATTCTCCTTAAAGGGGGACTGCTCTCTTTCAAAAGTTAAAGATGAAGTTTAGAGAGAGAGAGAAAGCTTAGGCATGCCAAATTTGAGAGAGCGGAGAGAGAGTGGGACGTGCCACTTTGGAGAGGAAGTTTTAGTGAGAGAAATTCATGTGAAAAAATGACTCAAGGGGGGTATTTATAGCTTTTACAAAGAACATGGGATGAGATGATCCTAGATGATGAATCAAGACCCTCCATGTCATCTACCAAAGGCTACAACGAGAGGTATGATCCTAACCCACCATCCACCATCAACCATCTTAATGTGTGGCATGGATTTAAGACTCTTGTCCTCCCTTTAATTCACTCCAATTTCCATTGTTATCAAAATGCCTATGCTCTAGATATTTTATTAAACAATAAAACCATGATGGAGGGCATGCCCTTATGGTCTTTTGACCAAAATCCCAACAAAAAGAAGATTTCAAAATTCCCTCCATTTTTCATGAGCATGTGGGTTCAATGAGAACATGCTACATAAGGCATGTGGTTATGTGCACAATAACCATGTGCCCTTAGGGTTAGAATTAATTTTTCAAACCCTATACCACTTCTAGAATGTCACACACATGTGCGCTAATCCACTTGCTTTAGGCATGTAACATGTGCCAAAAAACAATTTTCCAAAATCCACCATTTAATAGAAAATTAAAATACATGGTAAAACAACATAAAATAACATTAAATAAAATCACAAGGGGGTCCCCCATGGGCTTGATGTCTCCTCCACATCATCTCCACCTGGGGGAGCATGGGGCCCCATGGGGTTGGCATGTGGACACCCCATTGGCCATTTGAGTGTCCCGTGTGGGTCCTGGGGGACTGCCCTTGATTGTCATTTTATTCAAACAAATTTGAAAAAAGGTTTTTCTTGTTCAAAAAAATCCAAAAAACATAAATCCACAAAAATCATTTTTAATTATTTTTCATCAAAACAAATCATTTAGATAATGATTAAAATCATTTACACGGGAAATTATGATCCTTGAAAATGAATTACAGAACAGAGCACTTCACTTGGTTAGACCCGGAATCCAAAGTCACCTTCTTGGAAATGACCCAACAGACTCATGACCCACAAGTAGTGTATCAAAGTCAATTTGATGTGCGATTCTAAATCCCCAAGGTTACATGGATTTCAGGTGCACCCCCTAGAGGACATGCACACAAAACAAGGTGCGGGGGTTCCTCTCTTGGCACACGTGCATAGCTCTATTCAGTGGATCTGTGGAAGAGCTGGTTTCGTAAGAATTGCAATTATATATACACATGCCACGAGAAGGTTCTAAGAGTTAGGGAATTAGGCCAATGCCCTTTGTTGGCCCAGCCTTCTCATGCAGGATTTTCAGTCATCATGCTCATATGAACTTCATATTGTCCTGGCCTATCACATAGTCATGAGGCACATATTAAACATATCATAGCAACCTACCCTGACTTAGAGGTAACCCTCAACTCTCTCTGTACCTTATATAGACCACTCCTCCTCATGACCGAATCGGAGTTCCATGACTCTTGGTCCCAATGCGCCAAGATCCTAGAGTCATGTCACTCTTATACTCTCACTCAAGTAAAGAGCTAATAAAAATGAAAGAATTTAAGGCCTTGAAAGAACATAATTCCAACACTTTGTGAAGTTAATAAATTTTCTATTTATTGATGTGGTTTCTCATTTAGAAAGTCATGTGGTTTCTCAGTTAGATAGTCAAAGGATATAATGGATGTATGTCCTCAGTACTAAACCTGTGAAGCAAGATGCCTCAATATTTCAGCTTTCATATTACAACAATTTTTGAGTTAGATTACCATGCAATATATTGACAAGTGTGGCACTAGATTAACGGAGACATAATTTCAATCTTGATGGAAATTGTTCTCTACTGAAAATTTCCTATTTCCTATTTTCTGTTGTGTCTTCATGGAGACTGCCTAATATCCCAGAAATACCCAATTATGAGGCTTATCTGTATTTTAAATGAATTTATGTTCTCAGTACTAAAGCTGTGAAGCAAGATGCCTCAATATTTCAGCTTTCATAGTACAACAGTTTTTGAGTTAGATTACCATGCAATATATTGACAAGTGTGACACTAGATTACAGAGACATAATTTCAATCTTGATGGAAATGGTTCGCAGCTGACAATTTTGATATTTCCTATTTTCTGTTGTATCTTCAATGGAGACTGCGTAATTTCCCAGAAATACCCAATTATAAGGCTTGTCTGAATTGGTTTCAATGACCAGTCTATTATAGACCTCAATGGTGATTGCAGTTAACTCATTCGGCATAAGAATGTGAAAGATTTCGAGTACTGACTGGTGGACTTTCAGCAATCAGAAGTCATAACCCATACTAGCACAGACCAATGTGTTTCTTGCGGAAGAGTTGCGCATCTGTTGAACTATGCAGATCTTTCAAAGTTGACACTTATGGTTCTGTGAAGCGAAAGAATTGTTCTCTTAAGTAATAAAGATTATGTTCAGTGTCTCTGTCCATGTTGATGTATGATTCTACAAAACTTGTATGTTCTCCCTTTCCTTTTGTGGCCTACTGGACAATGAATACAATCAAGATAGTCACCATTTTAATATTTCCCATTCTATGCTTGGGCATGTGTCTCCTTGGCATGTGGGAAACTGCACCTGAAGGGTTTAACCGTTTCCCAACATTGTTGGTGTCTGATCTTTGTCACCTATGTCAAATGTTGCTTATACATCAGAGACACAAGCCATTAATTTGATTCTTTGTGCGAGATGGGGACAGATGAATAACATAGTAGTTGCTTGGGTTAGGTTATGGATTCTCTAGAGTCTAGACCAATCTGATTGTAACTGGAGCAATTCCTATGCTACTGGCTCAGAGAAATTAAGGTGTGGTCTTCCACTTGCTTGTTCAGATGTCCTTAAACAAGATGAGTTACAATAATGCTAATAACATGTAACGGATGCACCACTGTCACTCAACACATAAAAAGCAATTAAAGAGGTATAATCTCCACACTTGGTCATGGATCAACTGAGCTGCTGCCTTGTCTCCCTCTTATCTTTCATTAAAACATGTTGCCTTGGTTTATGATATAAATTATGAAGGTTGCATCATTACCATACTTTGGATATAGTGTTTTTGAAATCCTTACTGATTTTCACTTAATGTTTACTGATTTTTCTTAATGTTTAAACCAAAATCGATGAAGCAAAACATGAAAGTTATGTGGGTCATTCTTGAATGAATAATTTCAGTTTGTGACATGAAGATATTGTTTATTGAAGTAGATATTTATGGATATTGATCTGAATATCATGCAATTTGCTTCTTCTACAAAATCAGAAATTTTTAAGCTAATTACCATGAATTTCTTTTAGAATAATGAACATGCAAAATTATAGAGCCTTGAATGTAAATATTCATGGAAAAATGTGTTACGATAGCCAGTTGTGGGAGTGATCAATCTGCGCATAGAACTTTATGACTGTGCGTGTGTGTGTGTGGGTGGGTGGGTGGGTGGCTGCTTGTGGTCCTCCTAGAATAGCCTTCATCAGTCATATATTAGATAATCAGAGCGATGCATTTTCTATATGGAATGTAGATCCTATAGTCTTTCTAGGCTTTGGAAGTTCCGCATGGAGGAAATTTTGGAAGATCAGACTTTTTTCGTGTCTCGGAAAGACTTTGCTTAGTACGTCATTACATTGTTTGTACTGTTCCATTACTAACTAGATCACCATTTAAAACTAACTTATTCTTATGGGGGGCCAATGCCTCCCTTTTTCTTCTTTATAGTCTGGATTCTATTGAATGATAGTTTTCTTGATGTTCAATGTATGAATCAGCCTCCATAGAAATTGCAATTTCCTGATATGTTACTAATGTGCGGAGAGCAGTCATTAAAAAGATGGATATGCAAGCACCTAGAGAATTTCTAGCTGAATTGAAGGTTTTGACCTGTGTTCATCACTTGCACCTGGTAAATAGCCCTTCCGACTCATGTGCATTATTCTTTCATATTGTCTATTTAACCTGTACTTCTAATCTTGTTGAATAAGATTTACTTATTTGGATGATTGTTTTTCCTAAGGCTGTTTTTGTATTTCATGGAAAACATGTGAAAT